CCAGAACGCAGATACGCACAGTTCTTCACGTTCAACCGCTAGAACAAGTGAAGACTTCGGGCAAATACCTCCAACAAGTCCATTATTCTCGATGGAAGGAAGCTAACACAGATGAGTGCCTCGGAGTGAATTTAACCACTCGAAAGTCGCCCAAGCCGCTGCGCCAGGCGAAGGTGGAACCTGATTTCGTAATTTAACTGCTTTTACCAAAGAAATCCGATTGTGCTCACTTGCTACACAGCCAAATTTGGTTGCCAAAATCAGCAACACATCATCCCCTATGTGATTAAGGACAATTCATTTTAACCTCTTAACTAAACAGAACACAAGCTTGTAGCGTTTGCTTCTCAAGTTTCAAGAACGAGTTTAGTTTTACCATAGGAGAACATAATTGATGCATGATGCTGCCCTATTTTTCCCCCAATGCAAGTAAAATAAGTGCCGACAGTCAGTGTGAGTACATTGGTGGCAAGGCAACCAAAATATGCCTCATAGAAACGTTAACTGAGATAGGGTAGGAAAAAATGTTGCCGTCCTAATGGTGACTTAGATTCAACATTAAATTTTTTAGTTTCCAGCTAGATAAAATGTTCTGAACTAAATAAGTTAAAAGTTTGTCTAAGCGTTATAAGTGAGGTCGCCCATTAGTCCCATCCTTCGTTTCTTAAAAAAGGGACGCCATCTCCGACTCGCACAGATTGGTTGTGCTGTCCCGTCCATGAGGCTCTGGCTTATCAGATCTTGTCCTAATGTAAGCTTGCCACTAAAGAGGAGAGAATATTTTTAAATGAGATTATCTTCAAAATTAATCCCGCTATTCAACGACATGTTTGCTTAGGTCTCGGGTAAGTCGTGCAAACCCTATAAAATTTGAACATCAGCACCAAAGTACTGTCAGCAAGTTGTCAGACTCACATGTGAAAGCTTGAGAATGGAGCTGAGTGACATTAGAAAGCCAATCGTAATGTTTTATTGGTTTCATCCAAGTTTTCAGTTTTGAAATTTTCCTAACGAGACACTTTAACTACTTTATCTTGTCTCTGCGAAAAATTTTACTTTAAAACTAGGTGTCCCAGCAGACCTCGGGAGTATTTTGCCATTTGATGGAAGCAGAAGCTACAAGACATTGCAGTGAGGCGCGTCCTTGGTCCAGCTATCTTTTTTGCTTTTATGTCACTGATGGCACGATTGGTGGTTAAAACGAGGCGGCTCTGAGCCTGCACTGAGCAAACAGTGCTGTAAAGTCTCAGAGTCCAGTGGTGGCAGAGTGAGGGCCAACAAAGTGCCCAATTTCTCATTTATTCAAATTTTGACAATTGCCCTCCTCCCTACCCCCCAAATGCACGGTCTACGACCGTACACGTATGCGTCCATGACTGCTGCAAATCTGTCATCGCAAAAATTACTCAACACAGTAAATGGCAGGAATAGCACGGCTTGCGTAACAGAAGCGTCTGTCTGCTCTACGCCGGAGCTAAGAACCCTCACAACCTTCCTTACATATGCAAGAAGGAAAATAGTGCGTAATTTGTGCCATGGCTTAGCGGAAAGGTTGGGTCGTAAGACGAGTTAAAAAGTGGAACAGCTATGCATATTGTGACTACTTTTTTTAATGCTGATTCCAGGAAGGACGTTCAGTTTTGAAATTAGTGGAACGCCGGTGCAACGTTTTGTTGTGAGAGGACTGCTAATCCACTTTCCACTTGGAGGTGATAATGTAGTAAAGTAGATTAGTTGCTCAGTCATTTAATCCGACTAAAAAGTTAGGAGGATCTGCATTTTTCAACTGCATGCATTAGGAAGGGCCTGCCTTTCTCTTCACATGGGCAGAACTGTCTTCGCGGAACTTCCGGTTAAGTAGCAATTATTCCATGGGATGGGACAAAGAATTCACATGCAAAAAAACATACCCCAATGTGACATCATTAATATACTGTAAGCTGTCGACAGAATGTGCATTCCGTTTGATTTAATCACTGATGAAGAGAACAATTTTATTTGCTTTTTAAAAGCATGCAATGCGGACATCGCCAGTCAACAGTACATCCGCCACGATTCTAATGTCCGCTACCGGCACTCAGGTAAAGTACCCCAATGGCTCACCTACTTCTTCCTCATTTTTTTTTACAAATGCCCCTACTTTTAGAAGGTTTGTTTTAACGCACAAGTTCTACCCCTCCAATCTTCTTAATGTCAAGGCGCGGGGGCGGTTTCTGCGTAATCAACTTAATCACCAATGTTAAGCAGTTTGCGAGGGTTCATGTTAGTCACAAAGCTTGTCTACCCAAAGCGCAATCAGTTTCCACACAAAACACAGCTTCTGGACAATAAAGACGACGGTGTATGCCGTGGAGAAGTAGAATCAATGCACTCCGCCCAATAAGAAAAAGCCTTGAACAGTGTGCTAACAAAGAAAATAAGAGAAACTTTGAAATTCATTGGAAGCTTTCAGCTTCCGCCACCACTTGGCTTTAAATGAAAGAGGCACAAATTGAGCCATGGGAATTGATGCATTTTATGAGCGTTTTGGCTACTGCATTGTTGAACAGAGATGATGGAATTTTTTTTACCTTCAGGTAGGGAAAAAAAATTGGTTTACAAAATGTGGAGTATTTCAATCATCCGAATTCCGAATTCAGAGGCAGCAGTTCTTTTAAAAACTTGAGCGGCATTAAATCATTGGAATAGATTATTTATACAAACAAATATTCGTGTCCATTGTGCCTTTGAGGTCTCGCAAATCCAATTCAGTTTGAGATCATTGTGTCCGCACTTTGGCGTTTTACGAACTTTTGGAAAGTACTCTACTATATAACGAGTTCCGTTGCGCTGTGTCACTTTTAAAGTCTGATTTTTTATGCTTCTCCATCACTTTGCTGACGAAGACCAAAGAAGGCGTGACACGATGGAGGAATGCGCGCGTTTGGTCTAGCAGCATGTCCCTGAGGATGGCCCAATCGGTCGAGCAACCGCAACTTTAATTTTGATCTAAAAAGCAACAACACATTAGCAATTGGGTGTTCATGAGGTTAATTACAGTTTTGCTCCATTAAAATCTCTTTATAGCATTATGAACGGGGAGCAGCTTTAAATGCGAGTAGTCATTGCAAATGAAAGTCGAATTTGTGCTGCCGGTTGGTAGTAAATAGCTCTAATTAGAAAATTTAATGTTAAGCCAAGAGCCCTTTTCGCTTTTCAAATGTTACATTTAGTCTGCATTTTAATGTTAAAAGTCTATCATTAAAAATCTGTTGACCTTTATTTTACTAAATAAACAAAAGTAGCATAGTTCAACCCATTCCTGTTTGCTCGCTAACAAACATCCGCAAATCAGATCAAGTCTGGTCACTTTCATCAATGTGGACCAAATATAATGCAATTAGAGCTCTATGGTGGAAGCAGTCGAAAAATTGAGGTGGATGTAACTGCTTCGAGGCCGTTCTATAAATGTAGTGCCTATTGACTCCCTTCAGCTCACCAAACCTGTGTCACGAAGTTAATACAACTTTGAAGTAAATGCATCACGAGCAGGTGCCTGAAAAACTTTTTGACTTTGATGTAATATCGTACGCTACAGCATCTGGTCAGTTTATAAACCAAAAAAATATGTTGTCATGCAGCAAGGGCCCTAGGGGAGGCAATTTCAGACGTCGTGGGAGACCACGTATCAACCAAGTTTTTTGCAAAGTGCATTGAGAACTTTCGTCTTCCAACGGAGTGGTGGCCTTATTTTCTAACTAGTCGGAGACATATATGGAAATATCATTTTAAGACACTGTTGATCAAGTAATTCTTTGAGATAGGAATCAGACTTTGTGCATGCGTGAATGTCCCTGTCCTTTTTCTCCATACACCGTCCCCACACTTTGTGCTAATATGCCTGTAACGCTCTGTTTATGAGACTACCTGAGGTTCGGCGGTCACTTTAGGATTTGTCTGGCCCTCGTACTTGTGGGCTGCCCCTCGGGCCATGCTGAGGTCCATTTGCTCTATCCTCTTCGAAATACATGTATTTAACCTCACTTATGCCTTCTTCCACCCTAT